AGTTTTGGTTTTTTTCCTCATTGTTTGGTGCTTTACCTTTCCCAGATCAATATCCTCTTGAAATTAAAAGGGTACAACATTTTACTTCAACACTTAGTGAGAGATTCGCTTTTTTTATAGTTAACGAGTCTTCTGCTGTTCACAGTGATACTAGAAATTCATTACCTGCCAGCATATGGAAGCTGAGTGAGTTACACTCAAAGACCTCTTTTTTTCCCCCCCTTTCTTTGCCTCCTGTGGCTAATTCTGTTCTATATGTTCTTTACACATTTCCCTCCCATGAAGAGTGGAAAAATAGTGGGGGGTTTTCCTGTTTAATAGTTTTAGGCTTTTGGCTGCTTAGATATATTTTATGCAACTCTAAAAATAGTGGACGTCTGTTTATGGAGCTGCATCTGTTCTTCTGTTTCTATGTGTGCATCCACACTTTCTTTGTATACTTCACTTGGCCAGGTGCCACGGCTTTTTTTCTGGATCTCTTTCCTGTGCTGTAGGATGAACTTCTGCTGACATACAGGATCGTGAGCCCCTCTAGTGGCTGCCTTTACTGAGTACAGTTTCTTTTGAACAGTTCTACGTTTTCTTTGAGTGGCAAGAGCAGGCCTGCAATTGTGGGAAAGTTGTGGTGGCAGATGTGGCTGATTCCTGACAGCTGCTGTTTGTCACAGGATGAGCAAATAGCAACAGCATATCTGCCTGTGTGATTAGGAAAGCCACCTCCTCCCACAACCTTGTCCATTTCTCAAAAGTACATTAAATAAATTGAATTAATACCTAACAGATCTTTCTGATCAGCATTAGAATCATAGACTCATATGATTGTGAAATGGTACCATAGTCCTACAGAAACTTTAGCTATATCTTTAGATATTTCCAGCTAAGCCTTAAAAAGAGAAGAAAATGTGCCACTTTTCTAGGACATATGTACTGTGTCTAAGTTTTGAAGTTCACCTTGCTCTTTGGAGCTTTTTAATTGTAATAACCCATGGCAATCATAAATTTTGATGACGTCACAAGAGAAAAATAATAAATTTAAGTTTTAAGGCTGTGCATTAGTTTATAATGACCTTATAATACTTGAAAGGCAGAATATCACAAAAACAACAAAAAGAGCATTTGGATTTACAGTTCAATTCATAATACACATTCTAATGGTAACTCCAAACAGTTCTGAATCAACAGACTAGTATGTGGTAGACATAAACCAGACAGAGAAATCTATAAAAATTATCTGTAGTTATAAATTACTTGACGAGGAGGGAAGCTTAGCTTAATGTTGTATAGGCTATAAATGTTATGTCCAAAAGAGACATGATCAGAATCAAATAACATAAAACAGGTTCTTGTGGCCTGAGCACTGGCTGAAAGAGGCTTAGAGACACGAGAAGAGAATACCAATTTTTTTTATGGCTATCAATATTTCTGGTATTTCCTTCCTTCTTTTCTTTCACAGACCCACAGTTTCATACGCAATAGAAAGCTCTGCATATGTGTCTTAATAAGAATTTCCGGGCAGCGAAATCTGCCTGCATTTGAGAGTATGGCTGATGCCGTAATGACACATGCCCTGGGCTGCCTAGGAGCCTACTTTACAAAAGCAGTCTTCAGGGAAGAGCTGCAGATGCACCCTTCAAAGAGCTTTAACAGTGAGAAGGAAAGGCAGTGGCTGGAGTTACATAGTTCATCTCACAAATATTGGCATGATGGTTGGTGTCCAGAACAAACGTGGAGCTTGAAATGACAATGGCAACCTTTGGCTAGGAGGAAGGCTTGGATGATGACTCGTCTGGTGATGCAGTGTCACATGCAAACATCCCAGTTTGTCAGCAGCTGGGCAGCTACAACAACTTCCACATTCCTCGTGATCCCTCAAGGAATCGCTTTTGTCTCAGCCCTCTCCCACACATTTCAAATATCGGTGTCACAGATAATGTTTTAAAAGCTCATAAACCATACACTGCTCAGAGTGTAAATATACAACCTGAGGGGAGTCAGAAAGCTCCTCAGGGCAGTAACCCTGTACCTGCTGTGTTCAGCAGGCCTGGGTGAGGCTCAAAAAATCAAGAATTAATGCCACAGCTGCCACACCCAACAATCCCCCCAGCATAGATCAGCTCACTAGAGTGATTCTCCAGTTATAATAAAGGGGCTTTGTTCATTTGAGCTAAATTGCCGTCATCAGTAGTGGAGAAAAAGCCCCTTTTCTGGCCTGAGCACTGGCCACAGCTGTGTGGAGCACCATGACACCCCTATGTGTAAACTTGAGGTCCCACTGGCCGTGGCCATGACGCCAAAGTCTGTGTAAAACAAGCCACAGGCAGGTGCGCGCCACTCCCCAGGTAACTGAATATTTTGGCCTCTCCCAGCAACTTTCCTTCTAGGTGAGGCAGAGGAAGATTGTGGCGGGAAAACCTCCCCCGCGTCGAGCCGGTCGTCGTCGCCGGGCCAAAGCCGAGCTGCGGCCTGAGAAAGAGCTGCCGATCGATTGGCTCGGGCGCCCGCGGACAGATCCGCGATTGGCTCAGGCCGCATGGAGGGGGCCCTCGATTGGCGGGGCTGCCTGCCCGCCTGCCAGCCGTCCCGCCCACAGCCGCGCCGCGCCGCCTGGCTGAGGTCGCGCGGTGCGCGCGGGGATT